ATAGCCAATATTTTCTTAATAGTTCACATATACATTCCAGATTGCTTCTTGTACATCTCCCACTTAAAAATCACACTCTGATGTCAGGTTTATTCTGAAAATAATTTACTGCAAGTGGCAGACCTTTAAATTTCCTTTCTCTATAGGGAATTTTTCAGGAAAACATAAGCCTATTAAATGCATTTTTATTATAAATTTGTTTCAACTGAAGTAGCTAATATTTTTACTTTTTAAATATACTTGCTGGATAATTTTTATACCAGTCCATAAATACATTTGAAGTGCTTACCTGATACTATTGTTATAAAAAAAAAGGAAAGAAATCATTATCACCTTGTCTGTCAGCACTGATCTTCTTAAAAGTACCCTTTCAATCAACGGATCCAAGAGAAGTTCAATTTCTGCAGCAAATGGAATACAGAAAGTTATAGCTTAAAAGGGTTACTACTGTGAGTGGAAAAGGAAAATAATGGGGTGACCTGTGGAGACACCCTGAGCCCAGGAACACACAGTTCTACACGTCTCTATGGGGTCAGAGGTATGCACATTTCTCCGTCAAACTGAAAAGCCAAGGAAATGTAGACCTGGCTTTCTGCTGGTGAGGACAAATACTGGAAATATTTTATTGCAAAGTGGCTGAAACAGTCCAAAGTTTAACACTTAGCAGTCAGGCAGCTAGGGCTGAGAGAAAATGGACCTCGTTTCTCTTCACTGGGTTTCTCGAGCCTTGACAACAATGACAACTAAATTTGTTATATGCTGTGATGGATTCAGATAACTCTGGAAAGTTTTATCTTAAAATAGTGGAACCATCCCCTAAGAGAAATACATCATCAGAATGGTATAGAAATGCATCAGAAACTGCCTATAGATTGCTTGCCCAAAGAAAACAGAACCAATTTTCTGAGAAGATTGAATAGAAATATTGAATGGATCCAGCTTCATTTAATACCCACAGAGTTCATGTGAAAATGTAATTAAGAAGACTGGGATGGAAAATAAGAAAAGATAAGAGGCAGAAAATGGTCCTTTACAGTTTCCTTGGAAGGTCACAGTCCACTTTTTAGAACATAGAAGCACAAGGTTAAAGTGGGTTTTCAAAGACTTGGCTCTGCTCCAGATCTCTCTTTAATGTTGTTTGCAAAATTTATAGTAAAGGCAGATTTATGAACACTGTGAACTGCTCATAGGTATTTTACTTCTTATTCACAGAGAACAGCTTTATTCTTTTGGTCCAGTTGCTGGGCCAAATTAAACTTGAATTTGGACTATAAATTCTCAATTATATCTGCAAGTGCATTGTGTTTACTTAGAAACCATGAAGATTCTAATTTCAAATCAGAAAAATCTCAAGGTCATAAAAGACTTTTATCATTTCCAAGACCTTATCTAGTCTTATGGAAGTCTTACCTCTGCACCTCTAAACTGATACATTTAATCTTTCTGTGGTGAAAAAACACTAGGAATTGCTGAGATTGGGGTACTGTTTGAAAGAGTGAATTCTAGAGTCAAACTATCTGAGTTTGAATTCAGGTTCTTTTACTTACTTGTATTGAGACATTAGATAAGTTCTTAATTCCTCTAAGCTTCATTCACCACATCTGTAAAATGAACATAATAACAGTTCCTACCTTGTAGAGGGTGTGCTGAAGATTAAATGAGATAACCTGTGTAAAACATTTGGCATAGTGCTAGCATACAGACAGAAAAATCCAGTCTTACTGTCTTGTTGACAGTTTAGGCAACATCCTACTGCTTAGTGTTGTCCAGACTAACTGTAATCTTTTACCATCTCCTAAATTCTGTTTTCTTTCCCTCTGGCTTTCAAGGCTTTCCTCGGGTTCTCTATTAAAGTGGTCTTTCTCTAATGAGCACAGAAGGTTCTGGTCAATGGCAATTTTTTTTTTTTAAAGAAGCACCTGTTTTATTCTGTTTATTTGGACCCCAAGGACTTCTTTGCTGAGTTCATTAATAGCCCACAGATCTTAGTAGATAGAAAACAAGAGAATGAATACAAGTAAGAGGACATGGACTGATTGAGTAGTTAGAGGGATAAGGGGAAAATGAAGGAAAGAAATAAAAAGCCTCATGAAAACAGGTGAACCAATTAGGTGATGCAGCTGCTCTTAGCTGCAAGAAGAGTGTTCTCCCAGAACATTGCGCCCACGGGGGCACTGATCCCCCTGGATGGGTAGCATTCTTTATCCAAAAAATTGTTTTCAAAATATTCCACACCTATTTTACTCCTAACGAGCCTCAATGCACATTAACACAGGAAATATTGCAAGAAGAACTGTAGCAAAGAGATCTGTTTTATTTTGTTTATCCTATAATACTGATCAATACATGACATTGATCAATAACATTTGGAGACTCCCCATTATTGTTATTTCAGAACTGAGAAATAAGAATGACCAAGAAGAAAAGTGGGGCTGGGCCTCCCCGATGGTGCAGCGGTTGAGCGCTGGGTTGCGAAGCTGCCCGCAGCCCCTGCAGCGCTGGTTCTATCCCCGGCTGCTCCCCGGCCACTGGAGGAGGGTCCCACAGACCTCTCCTGCCTCCCGCTGCTCCCCTCAGCAGTGTACTTTGGTCCTTCTGCCTGCTCTGCTCCCTGCTCTGGCTCTGGTGAATTCTCTCACCCTCCCGCGCTTCTGACTGTACCTAGTGCTTCTATAAATAAATAAATAAATAAATCTTTAAAAAAAAAAAAAAAAAGTGGGGCTAACATTTAATGAGTGTCCATTATATGTGCCAGAAATTGTGCTAACTGCTTTAAAAAACATTTGTTCTTTCCCATACCCAGAAGGTTATGGTAATATTTTTTGAGTGAGAGGGATATTTACAGTGCTTTACGAAAGAATGGCATGGTACATATTAACTGTCCTGAAGTGGGGATGAATGACTCTTTAAAAATATGAAGGCCCTCAAGAGCTCACATAACCCATATTCATGCTGAAGAATACAGCTTTTGCATTCACTGAGAAACTTTGAAATTTGTGAGTTTCTCTAGCTTCAGTTCCCCAGAATGTAGCATTACTCACTATGAACTGCTGGTTCTGCCACTTGTTAAATATGTAATTGTAGGGTAAGGTAAGAAAGTATCAGGCTTTTCTGCCCTCCCGCCATTAGGATTGATGATGGATCTGTGGTCCTGAATGCATGCCTGATGGCGGGCACCTGGAGTAGGGTGTGGGCATGTGTAGATGGGATTCACCTGGGCTGAGACTGGACTTATAAGGGCAGTGTCACGGGGACGCCAGTAGAGCAGAGCTAAAGAGAGTAGAATGGAAGAAACACCAGGAGGGGAACAGCAGAGCGAAAGGAGCAGAGAAGCAGAGGCCACGAGAGAACGCCGGAGAGTCCAGGAAGAATGAAGACTCGCTGGAGCCTAGGAGGCCTGTCAACTTCCTGGCCCCCTGGCACCCCTGCCTGCCATGTACCTGGTAAATCCCAATAAAAGCCTGCAAAAGCCACCAAGGACTCCGGAACATTCCTTTAACCCGTCTGCTTGGATCATAGAGATCCTGCTCTATGCCCTTCCTGACCCTACGATAATGTTGAGTAACATACTCCTCTGAGTGTATATAAATACAGGGAAAATAGTATCTAACCTAAATTTGTGAGAATTATATTTAAAATCCACAAGGTGCTCCAAAAAATGCCAAACCCTTCATCTAATCTTCTTATAAATTGATTGAAATATTTTTCCCTTGCAAAAAGACTAGAACAAGTTATATAAAGTCCATAAAGTAATATGTGCAATTTCTGCCTTCAACATCCCCTAATTATATTTAAAACACTACCACATTGTGTGTATATTAACAATATTTAATACATTTAATAATGCAAATGTATATGACAATTACATAAAATAACAGTTTATATATTGTTAAAAGAAAGAACCAAATTTTACTTTTTATTTCCTACGACATCAATCTTAGTACAGCTTATGAAATGAATAGAAATCATAGTGGTAAGCAGCACTAAGGCTATACTTATATAACAAATATAACAATAATAGCGTCTTTTGCATTGAGGAACAAGCCAGGAAGGAGTCAGATTTCAACATTTTTGAAATTTGGTGCTAAATATCTGATGCTTTAACAAATAGTCTTTGTTTACCACTTAATTCTCAGCTGAAATAGGTACCAGAAAATCCACTCACAAGACTGCCCTGTTAGACATAAGCATTATTTTATGAAATTGGATCTGACTTTAGCCCTTTGCAAGAAGTTTGAATTTCCCTTCAAATAAATTGAATGTTAATATGTTTGGCTGACTCCAACTCTTATGTTCTCTTTTCTCTACTTACTGTTTTTCATCCTCATGCCACAGAAAGTAAAAATCTGCCTCTTTTCATTTTTCGAAATGTTTTTATGTCATTAAGAGTGAAGCATTGAGAGGTGAAGTTGAGGTCATGAAGGAGGGCGCACTGCACAATAATAGCTATTAATTCTGTGGAGAGACACAGAGCTTAATTTCAGTTCTAAGTATAGGCAGACCCAAAAGCTACAGATAGAAAATATGAGCTTTCCATTCCTTTTTTGCCCATATTTGCCCACATTGGCAATGAGATTGAATTGTTGGAGGAGAGAAACTTTTTTATACTTAAGTGAATAAATATAGGTCAAAATGAGTTAGAGGTTGAAAAATGCCATTGATTTTTTTTGTTGGTTTTTTTTTTTTTTTTGGTATGTATTTCAGGTACGAATTCAGATAATGTTAACAGAAGTGGAAGTGACCTGTATTCAAGGCAGCCAGATCAGTCACACATCCCAGCCAACTTGCTGCTCTCATCTTTCCCTTTAAAGCCTCTTTTCTATGTCCTTTTCTGTTTCAGCTGCATCTCGGTACTCAAACCTACATGTAGAATTTACTCTATGATTTGAAAATACAACTGATTTCTGATATATTAACACATCTGAATGTTCTCTGAACTTAATCAGACATTACAAATGGGATGATGTGTAAAATAAATTGAAGAGAATGTTCTCTTGTAGGAATGGAATTCTGCTGTTGAGAAGCTGAAGAGTGAGGCCCTGGAGATTCTGCTGTCCAAGGACAACGTGGAGAAAGAACACCTACAGCTCTCTAACCAGAAACTGAATCAGCTTCAAGAAGAGTTTGATCTGCTCATGGTGGAGAGGGAAACCTGGTTAAAGAAGACAAATGATTTTTTTAACAGCACTAACAAGGTCAGTGTGAGGTCAAATTGGTAATTTTAGGTAAGCAGGGCAGACTAGTAAGAGACACATCACTTCAACAAATCAGAGCACATGCAGGAAGTTGAGACTCCAGGTGGAGTTTCAAAATTGAGGGCAGCAAAGAAGAACTTTTAAAATCTATTCCTATTGAGGCCATTATATTCTCAAAACTAAGAGACTCCACTTCAACATGTAAAGGGTCACTGTATTTTTAAAAATTACCTATAAGGGTTTTATTTTGGAACTATCATAGTTCTGTTGTGGGTGGAGGGGCGGGGATACTTATGACCACATTGTAGTGTTTTCCCTGGAGGAAGGGAATAATCACAAAATTTATCAAGGTTATAAAAAAAAAACTTCAAGCTATTACCTAAAGCACTTTCTCTCTTTTTAACCCCCTTTTCATTTATCAGAGAAAAATAAATGAATATTGCAAGCCTCTGCATGCAAATCATAAAGTTAGAAACTGAGCTTTTACTGTCTTGGCCTTTTAACGTTAGCAAAAGGGAAATCTTGCTTTGAACTGTTTCTGGGTACTCTTTCATTGGAGACTTGCTCTGCTCCAGGTTGATTTATTTCATATTGATTGTAGCAGTTGGCTCCAGCTGACTAGAATGTTCACAAGTTCACAGTACTTGAGTAGAGTTTAGTATCTGAGATGGTGATGTTATTTAAAATCTGAATTTTTTTCTAACTTTACCAACCTATATACACCTTCCAGGAATTGTTAAAAGTCTTAAATTTTACAGATGTATTTAAAACTGGATAATGTGGCAGGAAGTGAATGGGGAACCTCCAGTAGCTAGGTATATTGTGATTAACGTAATGACATCAGTGCTCCGATTACAGTGGCCTGGTATATGTCAAAACAGTTACTTCATGTTTAATTTCTTAAGTAATAGGAAACTTTTTAAAAACATTTATTTATACATACAAGAAGTGGGGCACAGGCCAGAGATGCAGGGGGTGAGAAGATTCACCGGAGACAGAGTGGGGAACAGAACAGGCAGACTGAAGTACACTGCTGAGGGAAGCAGTGGGTGAGACAGGAGAGGTCTGCTACACCAATGGGTCACCTTCCTGGATGGGGATTAAACTCATGTTGCAGTGACTGCGGACAGCTTCATAGTGCTACTTAACCCCTTGCACCACCAGGGGGTCCCAGTAATAGGAAACTTTTTGCAAAGGATAAACACTAGTAAAACTCTAAATTAGAGATGCCGGAGTAATGCTAAAAATGTTAAATGTTTATTGTTAAATTGTTTTGAATTGCTTGTTTGAAGAGAAGAAAAAGGCATAGCACATTACTGGTGATGTTAAGTAGATGGTAGGTGCTAGTTACTTTTCAACAGCCCTGTCTTTGAAGAAGAGACTTTTTAACTTCTGTTACATCCTCGCTCTACAAACTAAATGGGTCATCTTCCAGTCAAGTATTTCGAAGGAAAGTGTGTTGCTACAATAAAACAATGCTTCTAGTACAAATCCTGTACTTTATAGGCCTGCAAAATAAAGATTTTTTCTCTCTTTCACTCTCATTCTCACATTTTCTTTCTCTGTTCATATTATTTGGTACCTTTACCATGAGGTCTTTCTTCTTATGCTCTTCCTGGGCTTTGAGGGAAGAAGAATTCTATCTCGCAATAATTTTACAAAATGAAGAACAGAGTGGTGACTTTCTCAATACAGTAGTTTCAGGTCAAATTCTAAGAAATATCTCTTAACCCCAAAGACTTGAACTCTAGATTCCCTGTTTCATCCTTTGAAGTCATGGCATTCAAATTATAAAAACATTACTTGGGATTTATGCCAATGTACAGCGCTCTACACAGCCAAGTGGTACTTAGAAAGGTACAGGGTTATTTTTCCCTTTTCAAAGCATCAAGGAAATAATTTGAAACTCCAAATCTAAGAGCTCTGTGTGAAAGATGATGGATACTTTTACTTCAGCAAAAATAGAAAGTGGAATTTGGAGGTAGCTGTTTAATCATGACCTTGGAATGAATTATTCACCATATTATTAAGAAATAAAAAAGATGAAATTATGTAATAGGTAAATTCATTTAAAGAACTCTTCTCATGATTTATGGTATTCCTTATATGATTTATATCATGGAATTTCCAAATTTGCAAAAGGTTCATCACTGTATCCCATTTTTGACATAATACTCATAAATAACCCTAATTAAAATAAAGGGCTGGTTTTAAAACATTAATACAATTTCAAAATCCCTTAAAATATTTTTTCTACTCAGAAATTCTGTTTACACAGTGGAGGAACATTTTTAGTTTATATCATCAACCTGTCTCCAAAGCATTGATTTTTCCTTTTGAAATTCACTTTGTGCCTTCAGTATATTGGGCTTTTCTAACTGTGAGCATCTGTATTACTAGGGGAAGAACTGCTGCCAACATTGTGAGGATTGGAGATTTTACCCAACATTCAGGCTAATGTGTTAACTTGTCATAGCTGCATGGGTGCTGACAAAAGACACGTGGCTTCTGAGTCAGTTTTGAAAGACTTTATTACTCACAGCAAAAGCAGTAACCAGAGTGTCAGCATGTCACACCAGATCCCTAAGCCCAGTTTCCACAGGATGAGATGGGCCCAGATGGGCGACCCCACCCACAGCAGGTAGGGCTCAGAAGAGGAACCAACCGTCCTAGGCTTAAGGAATCTGCTGTTTTATAGCAAATAGCAAACGGGCCCGTATTTTGTTCTTTGTCTCAGAGGCAGACATTTCCTCAACCCTGAAGGTTGGTGGCTACACCACCACACTGAGAAAGTGGACTTGGTAGAGAGGTCAGGGAGAGAGACATTTCTGACTCACCAGCAACATGGGTAGGGACACTAGACACTCTCTTCCCCAGCAAATCTGGATATTAGTACTTGAAAAATGAGAAAGTTGGTGCTTAAAAAAAGATACCATGAAAACCAATTCCACTCTGATAAGTACAGTTATTTTTTTAGCAACACTCTTGTTTCAAATTTGATAAAAGTAGGTCAATATTCTTTAATATATGCATCAAATATCTATGAAAATATGTGTTAGTGTAGTGGTTAATATATGAATGAATGAATGAATGAGACACCTTGAGTGTTTGCTTAGTAATGAAAAATGTAATTGAGAATATATACCTTTTATTTTTTTGAATTTTGTTAAAATAAGGAGAAATGAATGTCAATCTCATTTGCAGAAGGGACTTTTGTTAGTAAGTTTTCCATATCATATAAAGTTCTTTTTTTTTTCCATTCAAATTTTTATCTTTGTTTTTGGTACTTTCATTGCAATCATCTAGAACTCTCATTTCCCCCCTTTTAATATTCATTAATTTCTCTTGCTACCAATTCTAACTAGAGATAGTTTTACTTAATAGAAAAAAAGTCACAGTAACTTCTTTTATTGAAGTTGCTAACTATACAAAAGCATGGAAAATTTGTGAGAATAATTACTCTTTTCTTTAGTGATTCTTTAATAAACACTGAGCAACTACTATGTGTCAGACACTGTTCTAAATGCTGGAGATACAGCAGGAAAAAAAACCATAAAAATTCTATAAGCCATTATATACCAGTTTGTGAAATTCAGTAAAATAAAATTTTCTCCTAATTTTCCACATTGACAAGTGCCCCACTGCCTTTGCTCTGTGACTCCAGGAATGAAATTATTTACCTTTTATTCCTACTAGAGTTTGATGATTTCCCAAGATTTCATATTCTGATTTTTAAATATAATTATTTTTAAGTTAACATTGGTTTACAACACTGTATATGATTCAGAAACAGGACACTAACCTCTTTAGGTGCATATTGCCATACTCCTTTGTGCCACAATCTGTTTCTGATCCAAAGTATCTGTAGCCTTTGGCTCGAGTGCACTGGTTTGTATCTGGAAGGAGCAGTAGGTGGCAATGTCAGGACCTTAAGTGTCTTGCTACTGATGCTTTCCATATCCAGCCATAGAATTCAACTGGATATTGAGCCATATAACTCAAGAGTCCAGGATACTTTTTTTTTTTTTTTCATTTTAGAGTCACCTACTGTGTTTAGTTAATCTATTTGCTTAATCACCTAACACAAATACAAGTAGAGGTTTATTGCTTATTTATTGTTAACATTGTATGATAGTCATTTGGAGAAGATTTCCTCTAATTGCAAATAGTTATGAGGACATGTCATCAAATAAAAACATAGACGTCACTCATCTTTATCTCAAGTTTTCATCCTTCTTGATTATAAATTATTGTATTTATTTTATTTCCAGCATCTTCACTTTAACAAAGCTCTAGTTAATATGTATTGATCACTCAAAATATATTTATAATTGTTTAGGAAATGTGGTTTGATTCAAACAGATAATGTATAATATGTTTCAAGAGCAGAATAGCATGAGCCCATATTAGTCTGACAACCTTATGGTTTCAGACAAAAGAAAATTAAACATGGAATATGGAGTTTGGTATACATTTTTTCACATACATGTGTACATAAATATTCACTTATATCTATTATAGCACATATATTTTTTCTAGCATTTGCAAAAGAGTTACATTTTAGATGAGAAGCAATTAAAATGGCCCAGTTGTAGAAAAGATTAAAAGAAATAACCTGTCTTAAAAAACATTATCCAGAAAGAATTTAAATGAAATGGAAGAAATCAAGCTAATTATCATTAGACATGAAGGAAATGTAATTACTTTCAGTTTTATAATTCTTAAGCAACTATTGCCAATTTCTCTCTTCTAGAACAACTTTCCTTTCTCTGACAAAGAACTAAACCACTTGCTTTCACAACCTCCCTTCCTCCACATGTGTATTCAGAAAATATATTGTATAAATATTGTTGTCATGAATTGTGTGGGTGCTAAAGCAACAAATTATACAATCCTCGCCTTCAAAATCCTCTCAGTCTAGTTAGAGTAGCAGCAGAGAAACAAGTGCTGATTCTATGGGGAAATCGATGAATCTGTTTGCCTAGAGCATGGGGAACATG